ATGATAGAGCAATGAATTCATTGGGCATGTATGATGACATTCATAAGAAATGGTTCATTACATGGACCTTTGATTCAATGTGCCGTGTTTATCTAGAAAGTCTTCAAGCTATACAGTTAATGTCCTGGTCCAAGATGAAATATGAAATAATCATGGAATATGGTAAGTATAAAACTATTGCCTCTGCAAAGAGGGCGCTTTATAACTTAAAGTGCCGTCCAGATCAAAGCCCCAGAGAATTTTTAATAATTCTTAAAAATGCATACTCCGTGGCCCAAAGAAAACCCAGGTATGAAAGCACAGACTTCAAAGATCTGTATTTTCATGCCATGCCGGTAAACATACAAATGAATCTCGCAAGAGATTACGATTGTAAATTACCATTAGAATGGCTAGTCAGTCAGTGCATGAAATTGTACACTATACACCATGCACATGACGAAAATCAGCCAAAGGTTAAGAAACCTGGTGATAAAATGGTGTCAGAGACTAAAACTCAGTTAGGTTTAGAAACCCAACAGAAAAAGAGGACCTATTCCGAGGTTTTGAAATCTCCAAAACCTCAGAAACAGGAAAACGCCAGAAGCAATTCTGCAAATTCCTCTAATAACTCTGAAAAATCCAATGCCAATGGGAATAAGTGCCCCTGGGTTAATAAAAACCAAGGCAATTCTCAATGGAGAAGGAATCCTCAGGGAAACAGGAGATATGGAAACAGAAACAACCAATCTGCTTCCAATAACTCCCAACAGTCTCAGCCATCCCAACCAAATTCTAATGGGCAAAGACAAAACGGCAATGGGGGAAATAATTTGCGTCGTCAGGTTGGTCAATTGACTGACCAGATGGGCAAATTAATGGAGGAAATGACAGAGATCAACCAAGTCTTTGCTCTAAATCCTTTTTTAGGGATAGCTCCAATTGCAGAACTACCTGTGCAACCGCAGCAACAACCACAGGTGCCGCAGCAATAATAGCCACTGTGACTAAACAGGCTAGGTTATCAGTAGATGTAATGCCTAACCCTGTTTCCTTTCCAAGTACTAACAGTCAAACAAACAATAGCTGTGTTAGGAAACCTATTGCCTATCCCGTCACTTCACTTCCGGGTGAAGGAGGCGCAACGTGTTCCTCTGTTTTTTCATTTCAGCCAAAGGCTAAAGTAGCCCCAGCAGCCACTAGTTTCCAGGATCCAGACCTGAAAGGGTTAACTGATGAGATGCCGACCACTAGTTCCCACTTGATAGTTCAAGATATTCCTAAAAAGGATGGGCCTGTGGGTAAGACTGAGCATTCCTCAGTACAGGTAGAAACTACTGCTGTGACCGGTAATGTATGGAAAACAAGTAATATGTTGACACATTCTAAATTCTTATGTGAATTAGAAGAACATGAAGGAAGGTACTACATGTCTGTAGAAATACAGGATTCGCTACCCCAGCCTTTTAAAGGGTTAATAGATACTGGTTCACAAGCCACTATCTTATCCAATACCTACTTCCAGCAGGTAATGGACTTAGCAACGGATAAGCCGAAGCTAAGAGGTTTCCCCAATGCTCTGTTGAGTGTAGGAGGAAATGCCCTTCATGTTATTGGCAATACCTGGTTAAAGTTTAAAATAGGTAACAAAACCTTTAGACACCCGGTGATAGTGGTAGATCTCCCCTATGACCGACTGATTCTGGGTATAGACATACTCAGAAGACTTAACACAATTATTGACTGTGTAAATGGAATTGTATGGTCACAAGCTAAGGTTCCCATAACCTATGAGAAATCACATGTACAATCTGATCGTAACTGCCATGTGATAGAAGAAAGACCTGACTCGATTGAGGTACATTTTAGAAATAGTCAGTCACCTGACGTGACTATCCTGCAGGTGAATGATGCAATCGCGCCTGTAGATGAGCATTCCATAAGAATTGCTCCAGAGAGGATCCAGAATGTCTCTCTGGAAGGTGATGTTTTAACCATTTCTCTCTACAGGGACTATGTTGAATCTGTAGATCTGGCAGGTCATGCTCAATTCCTTGCCAGAATTGAAAGGGTTAATAACAACTTATTCTTTCCTATGCAAATAAATGACTTAGGAAGAAGTAGGAATGCAAAGCTGGACTTACAGAGTGAGAACAGCTATATTAGCAGAAGTCTGTTAAAGCAGATCGCTAATCCTAAAATGATCAGGTATGCTTCCCCACATGACAGGTGGATCCAGAACCTGGATGGCGAATCAGAGAGTTACAATGTGATAGCAAAATGTTTACTATCTATTTCCATCGGAAATAAGACAGTTAAACATTTATTCTTAGTGATAAACGAACCTCGCTATCAGGTTTACGTAGGCAATGATGTCATACATCGCCTTGCCATACACCTTGACCTGATTAATTCCAACTTGTGGACAAGGTTAAAAGGTAATCCTTGTGGATACCTACACGAGGAAAATGCCCTGAAATCAGGACAAATACTCCCATATGCGGTAAGTATCCAAGTTCCTGATGACATAACCATTCCACAGGGGACAAGTAATTTTCTTTTACCCCTACAGGTCAAGAAGGGTCAGAGATTGGAAAACTCTGATGCCCTAATCTGTTTATCCAACAAAATACAACAATTAGGGATGGTGGTAACACATACACCAATGGTAAGTATTGGTAAGAATCCCACCTATATCATGGTCAACAATGTTACACCCAATAGTGTTACTTTACCAAAAGGAACATTATTAGGTCTAGCATTGGATGCTGAGTACTATACATTTGGTTTCCAAAACCAAATTATAGGCCTCATCCCTGAAGAATACTTAACTGAGGACGAAATTGTCGATCAAATATTCCATTCCTCCCCAGAAGGATTATTCACTATCCTATCTGTATATCCCTGTCCCTTCAACGTTGAAGAAGGCTCGTGTAAAATCGAAGAAGCATCTATCACCTTCGATCATCCGCTCAATGAGCAGGAATCACAAGAGTATCTCGACCAAAGAGAAAAGGTAAGTCAACACCGAACTGACCTAACTTCTAGGCTTGAAGAAGCTTATGAGATAGGCCAGCCTGAAATCTTTCCAGGATTTCAGGAAAGGCTAGAAGAGCAATTATCTTTAGCTGACGGGTGCTCCAACGATGCTGAGCGGCAACAGCTAAAGGAAATCCTTTTGGAATTCCAAGATATTTTTGCCAAAGATTCCTACGACTGTGGATTAACTAACCTCCACGTAGCCAGAATACAAACTGATCCAAATTTACCACCTGTATTTATCAAACAATATAGACTCCCATTAGCGTCATATGATGGTCTACAAGACATCATTCAGAATTTAAAGGAAAGGGGCATTATACGTCCAGTGCACAGTTCGTATAATAATCCAATCTTGGGGATTCTGAAACCTAATGGACAATGGCGTTTATGCGCTGACTTACGACAGCTAAACAAACGCGTCTATATGTCTGGTTGGCCAACACCATACAATGTTTGGTACAAATGCAGGGATCCAAAATATTCACTGCCATTGACTGTGCGCAGGGATATTGGACTGTACCAGTCCATAATGAAGACCAATACAAATTGGCCTTCACATTTGGAAAGCAGCAGTATACCTGGACCGTATGCCTTTCGGTTATATAAACTCTGGTCATGAATTCGCTGTGTTCATGCATAAAGCTATGCCTGACGCACTCGAGAGAGGAACGTTATCATATGTCGACGATGTCTTGCTGAAAAGCACTTCCTTTGATAAGCATATCTTAGAGATTAGACATGTTCTCACTCAGTTAAGAGAGGCAGGGATTAAACTGTCTTTACAAAAGGCGCAATGGTGTCGCACCCATGTCAATTTCCTCGGACATGAGGTAACTTCTGAAGGATTAAATCCCCAGAGGAAGAAGGTTGAAGCCGTACTAAAGGCTAAAACACCTTCAAACATCAGGGAATTAAGATCGTTCCTTGGTATGACTAACTACTCCCGTAAGTTTATAGATAACTATGCAGAAATAACTAAACCACTCTTACACCTGCTTAAAAAGGAAACTACCTGGAACTGGGGGGAGCCTCAGGACCAAGCGGTAAGTGAACTGAGGAGGAAGCTCACTCAGGCACCCTGTTTAGCATACCCAGAGGGGGGTAAACCCTTCTATCTGGAGACAGGTTATACCAATTTAAGCATCAGTGCTGTTCTGTATCAGAAGCAGGACAGTTTAAACAAAGTTATTGCATATGCTAGCAAGACTTTGTCACCTGTTGAAGTTAAATTCAACACATGTGAGAAGGCGTTATTGTCGACTGTATGGGCACTACAAAATTTTCGTAGCTATATCCAAGGTGAGAAAATAATTGTAGAAACAGCTCACCAACCTCTACAGTATCTGCAGAGTGAAAGAATTAGAGACGGTAATCTCTCTAACAGTCGGATTACTGCATGGACTCTATCCTTACAGGGATGGCCGTTAGAAGTCCGTTATAAACATAATAAGAGAAGCCCAGTTGCCCAAGGTTTAGCAGAATTACATGACTGTACTGCTTCATCTCTGGATGATAATGACACCGGAGATGACTTCCTAGAAGAGCAATTGCTATCTCCTTATAAAGTTTATGACGAGGAATACTGTCGACCACTACCGTGCGTATACATTGATGGTTGTTCATATCACAACGTCGTTGGTGCTGAACGGAAGTTAGTTGCAGGTATCGGAATCGCCTGGATAGGTGATTATCCCAATGTATCTATAGGATACAATATTGGTCCCAAAAGCAGTCAGATAGCCGAACTCTGTGCAGTATATAAGACCATTCAAATGGCAATAGAATATGGTATCAAAGAATTTGTTGTCATAACTGATTCCAACTATGTTCGCAACAGTTTCGTCGAATATCTGCCTAGCTGGAAACGAAACCAAATGCTGAAAAGCAATAACAAACCTGTTAAACATGGGAAATTGTTTTGTAAAATCGATGAGCTGGTTAAGGAAAATGGTTTATCCATATATTGGAAGAAAACCAAAGGCCATTCTAAAATAGAAGGTATTGACAAGGATGGTAATGACTTAGCCGATTCACTGGCAAAACAAGCTGCCATCAATGGTGAAACCCTAAACATTGATGATCTTATGGGTTCAATTCATGTTGAAGCCATAACTAGACGACAGGCTAGAGATAATGCCGACTTAAATGTCGTGCAATGGAGTCAAGAAGCTCCTAATCAGGACCTGATTACTAGTCAAAAGAATGATCCCGTCATAGGCATATTCTATAGACATATAGAAGACCCTATTGCCAATCCCATCACAGATGAGGATTGCAAAGATAATGAAGATTTACGAATCTTGATGAGATATAAAGTCCAATTTAGTATCATGGATGGGTTACTGGTCAGAACTTCTAAACATGGTATACAACAATGGGTAGTCCCAACTGTATACAGAGGGTTAATGCTCCAACACGCACATGATGCACCTACATCTGGGCATCGTGGTGATAAGATCACATATGAGATATTGCGTGATTATGCATATTGGCCACACATGTTAAGGGATGTTAAGACATACTGTCAGGGATGCTTGATTTGTCCGCAATATCAACCCCATGGTCCAACCCATCGTGCACCACTTCAGAAGAGGGGGGTGTCATTACCCTGGTCTGATATTCAAATTGACTTTATAGGTCCTGTAACAAGATCTTCAAGAGGTAACAAATACATGTTAACCGTTACATGTATGTACACAAAGTGGATAGAATGTTTGCCTTGTAAAGAGAACACGAGTACCGTGTGCGCCACTTTGTTGATTAACCATGTCTTTTCCAGGTTCGGTCTGCCTCAGAGAATTGAGTCAGACAGAGGTAGTCATTTTACCAGCGAAGTAATGGCTAAGATGTGGAACATTCTAGGTGTTAAACGAAAGCTACATATTGCATACCGCGCTGCGTCTAGCGGGGGGGTAGAGCGATATAACCAGTCTATCGTTAATATTCTGAAAAAATATGTTAAGGAGTCTGGTAAAGACTGGGACATTAAATTGCCCCTAGTTTTAATGGCGATTAGAGCTACACCTAGCACTGCTACCAAATTGTCACCTTTTGAATTGATGACAGGAAGAAAGATGGTTTTACCACAGCATTTACTATATCGTACTTCGGATCATAACTTGATCAATGCTGCCACTACGCATCAGTATATCGAAGATTTGCGCAAGCATTTACAGCATGCATTTGCTTTTGCCCAAAAGAATCTAGAAAAAGCAGCGACAGGGGTTAAGACCTATTACGATTTAAAAACCACGAAAAAGGAATATGAAATCACAGATCAAGTTTATCTGTATAACTTTGCGCGAAATCAAGTTAATGAAAAGAAATTCCTACCTTCTTGGAAAGGGCCATATGTCATCATTGACAAAATTTCCCCAGTAGCGTATAAGATAAAAATTCCTAAGGATGGTGATTTTATTGAAAAGTGGGTTCACATTAACCAGTTGCGTGCTTGTCATCCTAAATCTCAATTAAGGATTATAGGTGTGGATTCAGACGCAGAAGGGTGAACGACTAACCTGGATGAATGCTTGATTCACGTGGTATAGTATGATGTGAAATGTTGTGATGTGCCATGATCTCATGTACGTTCATGTCATTAACCATTTCCTTGCCATCCAATAACTACATTTTATAAGCAGGTTACTAGCTTGTTTAACTGCTATAGGCAAATTGCTGAAGAGTCAGTAATAAATGTAGTGAGGGATGAAGTTATAAAAATAGAATTAGAGAGAATACATATGTTGATGAATCGTAATAATGTGTTATCCTAGGCCAAGTGATGTCACACTGTTATAAGTTTGTATGCTTAACAAACCTTGAATCATTAGTAGATAAGTCTGAAACGAGTTCCTGATCCGTGACTGTCGAAAGATGTCCAAGAAGGATGTGGCGTGTTTCTGGATCGTACTGCTCCTGTGCCAAGAGCTACGGACCGACCCGATCGCAGAGATGGGACCATCCTCCGGCATCCTGATTCAAGAGACACCAGGGTTCATCTTGACCGAGAAGAGGATCCTGACCCGACGTGTGTTCGTCAGCTTGGACCCCAAGATTTCCATCGAGAAGGCATACAACATTTCATCGATGCAGCTTCCTGAGTTACAGACTTGGTACCAGATGCACCTCCAAAGAGCACAGGACCGTGTGCGAAACATCTTGGAGCAAGCCCGGAAACCATTTGTATCCAGTTCTATTCCGATGAGCAACCGACCCAAAAGGTTCCTCACCGCTATAATTGTTGCATTAGTTTGTGCCACTGTCGGTGCAGTTGTCGCAACTGGAATGTCTGCAGCCAACTCTATTACTGTCCAAAAGCTGGATATGGAAATCTATGCGCTAAAGCAACACATTAACGATATTCATCAGGTGATAAACCAGCAAAGAACACTTCTCCAAGACGTGTTAACTATTGTGGAAGACACAGTTGTCACAACGAATTTGCATTCGGAGTTAATTGCCAAATCCACTGAGTTGCACCAAAGTCATGACTTATTTAAGCGTGAACTTCTATTTCTTGCTTTTCTCGACGAAGTGCAAACTGGAATGATCGAATTGGCAGGGGGACGCATACCTCTGTACTTTGTATCCAAGGATATTGTTCATGCGATGCTTGCCAATGTGGATGGAGAGACAATTGAGCCTATGCAATTAAATCTGGCCTTTGAGATGGGGAGCGCTATACCTCTCTTAATTGATCCGGAACGTATGGAGATTTGCTTTTTATTGACCATACCATATGTAACTCCCAAAGACATTTTTCAAATGAAAATAATGTACTATGTAATAATGATATTATGGTTGATTGTACTAAGTGTAAAGTTCAAAACTTTTACAGGTACAAATATATACAGAAATGTTCATTCCACGTACGGGCCTATGTTAGAAATGACGTGATTGCACAATATGTCTGATAACTTCTATAGTGCTTATTCATAAGCTAAATTAATTTTGGCTATGAAATGCACTAAAGGGGGGTTATGTCAGAGTATTTATATCGGCAGACATCTTGTGCTATGATAGAAACTAAAAGTGTATATTCTGAGTCACTCTGAACAGACCAGACTCCATTTTGTTATTTCAAGTTAACAAAGAAGACACTAGATTTCTTTCTGTAAGACTGGCCTCTTTGCCAGAGCTAAGGAATGCATAGTATATACAAACCAAGTGATAAGGAAGGGGGTTGGACAGACTGTCTAATGCTAATGGAATATAATCAAATCTAAACCCAGACAATTGTGACAGAGAAGATTAAATTTAATATTTAACTGTCTATATATATAAGGTACCATTGTATGGAAAAGGGTAAACTTAGTTCATGATCTGCCATATCAGAAATTATAGCAGATTTACCAGACACATAGTCTGGACAAAATTTAAGAAACCCTTTGATCTTTGAAGGATACGTAAGTTATAGTGGTCATTTGAGATAAGCAAAATGACGTCAAAATAGCCACCAGGAAAAGTTAACTCTTTCCTGGATAGGTATGTTTAGTGGGACAAGACTGCCCTCTACAGACCAAATACCTAATTTGCGATCTGGAAGATAACCACACCTCTAGTGCTTCTATTGGATTATCAACTGATGACGTACAGAGAGTATGGCCCTTTAAAAGTTAAGACAAAGGGAAGATAGAGAAGACGAAAGAAGAAGGCAGATGCAAGATATGCAAAGGAGAGGAGAGAGGAATTGGAAGTTTGGGGACTCCAACTCGGACAACATCTGAGACTAACACTCTACTCCTAAAACTCTAACACTTAGAATTTACTGACTTTCACCAACACCTCCATGCAGAGAGACTAACAATCGGATGAAATATCTACTCAACTGGTAATTATACTGGTTTCATTTAATTAAATTAAATTAATTAAAATGTATTAATAGCATTATATATGACTGGATAAAGCACGGTCAGATTTCCATATTAAGAAATCTTAGTTAACTAAGAATATATAGTTATAAACATTCCATTCTGCAGGTGGAATTAAGAATAATTATATATTGATGTGATATTATCACGTGTTAGCATACCGCTGTTTTTATCCAGGTGTATTGATTTGCTCTAAATTAAGATAGATATCTTTTAGACAAATTAAAAATCTGCTTATATAATGTTAGATTCTCTTATTGGATGGTTTAAGAAAATGAATTTAAACTGGATTAAATGTTATTTTATTTAAAATCACATCAGAATAGATCTTAACTACCTAGGAGATCTAGCCAGCATTGAAAGGGTTATTCTAACTGTCGGCTAAACTTTACGACCTTACGCTGCACTCTGAGGAATTCTGTTCTCTGTGTGAAAAGTTTCACTTTCAATCTGTGTAAGGATACCTCATAAATCGTCAGAATTCTTGACAGAAAATGCTAGTTAGCCATTGAAACGTAATACCCATTCCTTTGTATTGCATACCATTTCATACTGGATATTCATTGATTATTGTTATGCATGTTACATAATATTATTTGTTAATTATTGGTTATCATAAATAAAATCTATTTTTATACATTGTGATATTAATTATATGAAATACATTCCACTTAACACGATAAACGTTCTTTGGGATCTGAGAATTGAATTAGTGGGCAATTCTCACTGTTACTATTATTATCCCATAAATATCCCCACATATTGGAGGCACGGTGCTGAGATCGTTTAAGTTGAAATTGTATTTCATATATAATAATAATATTGGTGTAATTCATGCAATTTAATCTTAATATAGAAAAGAGTTTTGTATTGAGATTAATCAATAAAATAAAAATAAAAATGGCCAGTGGCAGTGATAAATCTGTAACAGATAATACTGAAATAATTGAAGACCTAAGAAAACATGCTCTAGTTCATATTCATAAACATATGAAAAATGATGCAACCTATGAGGTTTGGTTGAAAAGCATAGAATGGGAAGCTAAACACACCATTCTAACTGATGAACACATCTTCATATATCTTAAAGAAATTGCTGAACAAAAGAACATAGAAAGGAAAATGGCGTTCATAATACACTCTTGGCCTTTCTTTATGACAGCACTTCTTAAGGTGTGTGATGAAAACAAGTCACTGAATGCCAAATTGGACACGTACAGTGACGATCTGGGCATTCAAAATGGGAAATACCAAGATTTACTTGCTGAGCATAAAACTCGTCAGGCTGATCATGAAAAAGAAATGAAAGCTTTGATGGATAAATATGCACAGGAAATAAATCAGCTTAAAATGCAATTGGATGAGTATGAAAAGGAGAGTCAGAAATTAGACAGTGAGGTTGGTAGTCATCATTCTGTGCCAAAACGTTGCACAAAAATGCAAGAAAAGACTATCTGTAAATCCCCTCCTTATTATGATTTTCCCACACCAAACCAGGTTTTCATAAAA